CTCTCGACTGCACCCTGAATGATACCGAGCGCGTAAAGGTGGTCAGCTACAGCCTGTGCCAATGTCACGGAAGGCTGCTCAGAGGCAGACCTCGAGCAGAGGAGACGGTGGAGTCCAGAGCTGGTGAGGAGAATGGATGCTTGAGGGCGCCCCACCCCTGTGCCTGCAGCCCAGCCCCTCCCCCTCACCGCCCCAGCCCCACCCCTGTGCCTGCAGCCCAGCCCCTCCCCCTCCCCCCCCCAGCCCCACCCCTGTGCCTGCACCCCAGCCCTCTGGGGCCCCATCCTTTGACCCAGCCCCACCCCTCTCACACCCCCCAGCCCTCCCGCCCTCTGAGACCCCAGTTTACTGTCTAACCTCTGGTGGGGGTACCCTCACATCTCAGCTCTGCTCAACCCGTGTGATCGCAAGACCCGAACCACGAAAGAAAGTCGCTCAGTTGTGTCCGACTCTTTACGACTCCATGGCCTGTAGCCACCATGCTCCTCTGTCCAGGGAACTCTTCAGGCTAGAATGCTGGAGTGGGCTGCCATTCCCTTCTCCAGGAGAACTTCCCCACCCGGAACCAAACCCAGGTCTCTTGCATTGCAGGCAGATTCTTCACCACCGAGCCACCAGGGGAGCATGATCGCCTTTGAAGCCCACTCTGTGACTGCAGGCTGGCCCCTGAGCTCTGAACTTGGCTGGAGAAAATCTCAGGCCGCTGACAAAATCACTTCCAGGGTCTCAGCATCGCTGGACCACCTCACACTCGAGACTGACAAGTCTCATCTCCTCCTGGAACCACCAGCATCTCAATGAGATGTTAGATTATAAAATGTGTAACACATTCACATGGCTCAATAACTGGAAAAATTACAGCTGGACACACAGTGAAATATCCCCTCCCCAACCTCTGCCTCCCTCCCCTCCCCCTCCCCACCCCTCCTCTCTCCCCCACCCACGTGCACACACACTTGTGTGCACACACACCCACCAGCAACTGTGCTTGGTCCCTTGAATGCTCTTCCAGGCTGCCTTAATGCACATACGTTGTTGTTCAGTCGCTAAGTCCTATCTGACTGCAGCACGCCAGGCTTCCCTGTCCTTCACCATCTCCCAGAGTGTGGTCAAACTCATGTCCATGGAGCCAGTGATGCCATCCAACCATCTCATCCTCTGTCCCCCACTTCTCCTCCTGCCCTCAATCTTTTCCAGCATCAGGGGCTTTTCTAATGAGGTGGCTCTTTGCATCAGGTGGCCAAAGTATTGGAGCTTCAGGCAGACACAAATGTCTATTTTTTCCTACTTTTGTTTATCCCATGGCTGCACACCATCAACTCTTCTACATTGTGTTTCTTTGGTTATTTTTGTCAACATTTTATGTTGGGACAATTTTCAAATCAGAACCAAGACAACATCCTCATTCTCTTTCACGGCCACATAGTACTTCATTGTCTGGACCACTGCAATAATTTCCCTTGTGTCTACTGATGGACACCCAGGGAGTTCCCAGTGCTCTGCTACTACAATGGAAGTGACTGTCCTGGTTCCTGCGTCGTTTCTCATGGATGGTAGAGAGTTGATGAGATTCATTCCTAGAAGCAGAATGGTTCTCAGGAATCTTAGTGGGTTTTACTGATCTTGCTGAGTGGCCTCTGTGGGGGCTGTGAAATCACACTCGGGTCCTGGTGACCATCGGCCTCACTAGACACTGTTGTCACCCACACACTTGGGGTTTGGGCAGTCTATTCTTTTTTTATTTTTAATTTTTTGACCATGCCACGTGGCGTGCAGGATCCTAGTTCCCCAACCAGGGACCAAACCCGTGACCCCGCAGTGGAAACTCTTGAGTCTTAACCACTGGACCACCAGGGAAGTTCCATGAGGTTTGGGCGGCCTGATGAGCCACCCTCCCTTTCTGTGCGTCTTTCAAACTAGAAACCCCAGGCTTCCCCCACAGGACTCCCCTGGCTGCGAGGAGGCCCCGCGGTCCCCGTCGGGATGGGGATGACTCTTCCCCTGCCTCCCTGCCCTGGGCCAGCCTCACCTCCCGTTCTCAGCCCTCGCAGACCAGGCCTCTCCCCGGGCACCCTGGCTCTCCTCGAGGGCTTCCTGCCTCCCTGCGGCCCCCTGCTCTCCCTACAGCAGCCAGGGAGTTCTTTCCGAGTCACAGATCCCAGCAAGCTGCCTCTTCAAAGTCCCTAGTGCTCCCCGCTTGTAGCTGGAGTGAGTGAACCCCGACGCCCAGCCCCAACCAAGCCCCCGGCACCACCCTGCCACGCTGGGGGCCTGATTGACTCCCCACTCGCGGCCAGCCCCGCCTGGAGCTCTTTCTTTCCCTACAACCTGAGCCCTTCCCAGGCCCTAGGCTGTTTCCCTCCGGCACTGCCCCTCCCCGCCATGGTCCCTGCTCCCCAGTGAGTGCTGCCCGTGGCCACAGTGGGACTGCCCCACCCCCAGAACTGCTGCATCACCCCACGCCATCTGCCCTGCACTTGAACTTGGACTGTTTATTAACGGGCTCCCTGTTCCTTCCGGGCCTCCCGGGGATGTGAGCCCTTCACGGGCAGCCGGGCCGCCCGCCTCACCGCCCCCTGGCAGGGACGGGGCGGGGTTGGAGGGTCATCCATGCTTGTCCTACCGCCGCCGTGACCTCCCTCCCAGGTCACGGGAGCCTGGATGGGGGCCGGGGCCCGGAGACCCACACCCAGGACCTGCCCTCTGTCCCCTCTGCCCAGCAACCCACTCCTCGCCTCTGGGGCGAATCCTTCCCTATAAAGGAATTTTCCTTCTGCGACCAGGAAGCTGCTGATGCAGAGCCCTTGGCGGAGGGGCCCGAGCTGGTAACCCCGCGGGACCTTAGCGTCTCCCTCCTGCATGGACCGCCAAGGCGCCCCCCACAGCGCCAGCATGGAGTCCACCTGGCCTGCTCCCCGACCCCAGGGCCCTGCCTCTGCCCACCTCTGTCCTCCTTGGACCCTGGCCCACCCTGCTGCAGGGAGGCTGGGGCGGGGGGAGGAAGCGGTGCGTCTCAGCATCCTCTGCATTTTTGGGCCCAAATCCATTCTTTGGTCCCTGAATATCTGCCTGGATCAGAAACTTTCCATCTGGTCCTCAGCTTCCTTGAGCTCCCCCTTCCCTGCTGCCCCCTCCTCCCGTGCTCTGCAGGGGGAACTCGGTGGAAACCCACTGGCCAACCCCCTACCCCGAGGCTCCAACCTGCCCAGGGCCCCACTCGGGACCACACTCAGAGCCCAGCCTGGGGCATTCTGTCCCTCCCGCTCCCCTGGGTTCTCCCCACGATCAGTGGGTCCATCCCACCCACATCTCATTCGAAAGGGCCTTCCCTCCGGCTCCAGCCGCTGATGTCCAGGCCTTTCCAGCTGGACCCCAGACTCCGCCCACCCTCAGCTTAGTCATCCCTCCCCTGCCCCCCCACCCGCCTCCAGCTCTGTGGAATGAGTTCACCAAGGTTCCCCTTTGCCTCCCAGGGACTCTGCCCTTCTCCAAATCCAAGGCCAGGATGGTGGTGTGGAGGAGTGCTGGGGCCAGCTGTGATCACAGCTGGGCCCGTCAAGGTCAGTTCCAGGAATACGAGAGCCAGTTCCCACTGGGCCCGATGCACAGAGCCGAAATGTCGTCTGGAGGCCCTGCTGTCCCCCTCCTCTGTAAAGGACTGTGCGGGAGGTCAGACAGGTTCGTGATCACCACCCAGGTGAGGAAACTGCCCACAGCAGAGCCTCCCAAAGGTCACACTCACAGGCGAGAGGTGGGCAGAAGGCGCCGGGGACAGACTCTGCCAGACCCCAAGAGGCTGAGAAAGCCTCTCCCAAGAGAAATCACTCCACAGCCACTTTTGAAATCAGCTTTATATTAAGCTATAAAAACCAAGAGTTTGTTCTTAAAAAAAATACAAAAGCATACTATCAAAAAATAATAATAACACCAAACATGCAAACTTCTACAAATGTACAAAGGCCTTCGTGCACCATTTACATGGGCCAATTTCTGGCCACAGTACCTGGGAAAGAGGGCTACAAGTCCAAGAGAGCCAGCTGCAAACCGGGGTCACAGAGGGGCGTTCCCACAGGCACAGGCGGGGCGGGGTCACGCCTGAGTCTCAGCTGCCCCAGGCCGAGGAGGGTGACTGAACCTGTGCTTTCCTGGGTAGGATGAGGCACCCTGCAGGGCGGGGAATGGGTGAAGGCTGTGGCGGGCAAAATAATGTCCATCCCATAAAGATGCCCACATCCTAATCCCTGGGCCTGTGACCACGTTCGTTTCCACAGCAGAGGAATTAAGATTGTCAGGCGGAATTAATAATCAGCTGACCTGAGCATCAGAAGAGGATCCTGGACTGCCTGGGTAGGTCAAAGGTCATTGTCTGGTGGGTTAAAGGTCACCACCAGGGACCTTAAACCGGAAGAGGGAGGTAGGAGGGGAGTGCTGAGGCATGAAAAGGATTTGACTGGCCGTTGCTGGTTTTGGAAATGGAAGCAGGCCACGAGCCAAGAAATATGGGAGGCTGGCCTCTAAAAACTGGAAAAGGCAAGGAACTTCCCCGCCAGAGATCCAGAGGAACCCGCCCGGCTCAGCCCACCAGACCTACGTCAGACTGCTGACCTCCAGAACTGAAAGGCAAGTTTGCATTTTAGGCTCCCAGGCTGTGGAAGTTTGTTAGAGCGGCAACAGGGAACTCACCCAGAGGCCAAGGGGTCAGAGGTCAAGATGGCCCTGCCCCGACCTCAGCCTGACTTCCAGGGGAGGACCCACAGAGGCGTCCCCGGGCCTGCCCCTTGTTGGGGGAGGCAGATCTCGGGAAAACCCAGCAGGTCCTGGCCCTCCCGGGCCCATCCTCAGGGGACACCCGAGGGGAATCAGAGAGGGGATCAGGGGCTAGGACGCTGGCTTTGCCCCCACATGCCTTGTCATCCCACAGGCCCTTTTCCTGTCCCCCCACCCCTTCCCAGACAAGAGTTCATCTTTCCCTTTTTCCTCCTCCAGTTCTTCCTTCTGTTTCACTCACAGGCTGAGCCTGGCTTGACGTAGCCCTGAACCAGAGGAGGCAGGAGGGGTGAGGCTCGGGCCCCGGTCAGGAGCTGGGGAGGCCAGAGACCCAGCCTGAGGAGGGCGGTCCTCGGGCAGGCGTGGCAGGAGCCCGCAGACAGGCGGTGATCCCAGAGCTGGGTCCCTAAGCCACACACCCTCCCGACCCCTCCTTCAGGCTGTGCAAGCTCCACTGTGATCCACAGAGTTCCCCCCACGGCTCCTGCCCCGACAGGAGGGGTCAACACGCCACGGCTTGTCCAGTTCCAGCGGCCCAGGGGCCCACACCGTGGCCAGGCCTGGGCAGCAGCAGCAGCAGCAGCAGCAGAAGGCAGGACCCCCGGGAGGGGCCGCGTGGGGCTGTGACGCTGGTGCTGGTCTGACGGCCCCCAAATGGAGTGGTGTCCCATGCTCGCCAGGCGCTCCTGAGGAGGGCAGGCCGCAGGAAAAGCTAACCAACCTTTATAAGTGAAAATAGGGCCTTAGAGGGCTCGTGCGCCCCCGTGTTGATATCCAGAATGCTCCGGATGCTCTTGGCGTCACTGCTGGACAGGTTCCCCTTGATGGCCAGGATGGCACTCAGGTGGCCCTTGCTGGCAAAGAGACGGTCCCGTCATTCCGGCCCGCGCGCCAACACCCCTGCTCACACCCCTTCCCAGCTCCCCAGACTCCTGGCCGGAGCCACAGGGCCCAGCAGCCAACCCCCCTGCCCACGAGGGTGCCCCGCTCTGCTTAAACCACTGTGCTCTGGTGGCACCGGCCGCAGTGTGACTCCAAAGGGTGCCAAGGTCTGGCCTTCGCACTGGCTGTTCTTCCTGGAACGCTCGTCCCCATGCCCTTGAGGTAACCAGCTCCTCCTCACCCCTTTAGCACTTAGCTAACATGTCACCTCCCCATCAAGAAGCTGCCTGCCAGTGCAGGAGACACAGGTGTGACCACTGATCTGGGAAGATCCCAAACACCACCAAGCAACTAAGCCCGTGGGCCACAGCTATTGAGCCTGTGCTCAAGGGCCAGAGAGCCACAGTTACTGAAGCCCTCAAGCCCTAAAGGCCGCGCTCTGCAATAAGAGAAGTTACTACCATGAGAAGCCCGCACTCTGCAACTCGAAAGCAGCCTCCACTTGCTGCAACTAGAGAAAAGCTCACACAGCCACAAAGACCCAGCAGAGCCAAAAGTAAAAAATAAAATAAAAAAAAAAAGTCATCTCCCCAGAGAGGATTTTCCAGCTCTAAAGTCAGCACCTCCCGCCATTCACAACCTTGGTTAAACAATCTTTAAAACTTGCAGATAGTACTCCTTCGCCAGATGACCTCATCACTGCTAACCCTCATCTGACTGTCTGTCTGTCAGGAGGCCTGGTCTGTCTTGTACCTCCTTGCGTCCTGGGGCCTAAAAGAGAGCCCGGTACCTAGTAGGAGACCATCTGATAACTGTTGGTGGGATGGGTGGATACAAGGATCCATGAATGGATAGATGGATAGGTGGGCAGGTGGATGACTAGACGGGTGGATGGATGGATAGATCGAAGGACGGACAGATGGGTAGATCAGTGGGTGATCAGATGGATGGATAGCTAGATGCACATCCAGAAGGTTAAGTAGGTGCCTGTATGAGTAGGCAGATGGAAGGGTGAGTGTGTAAGTGGGTGGGTGGCTGAATACGTGGCGTAGACCAGCCAGCGGCTGGACCAGGCTATGCTGGGACAGGCCGACCACACCAGAGGACTCAACCCACTGAGAAAACTGCCCTGGCTCACCAGATCACCCTGGCAGTCAGGGGCTGAGCCTCCACTCTAGAACAGAGGCCCCAGGAACCACGGCACAGGTCAAGCCTCTGAGGACCCCTAGGCTGACCAGTGGGCCCCAGCTTCACTATGGACATGCCATGGCCTCCAGCAGGTCCCTGCTGTCTCTGGTTTCAGATCCCCCTCTGAAGGAAAGGCTCAGAGCATGCAGTGTGGATCCGGACTGCCTGGCTTTGTCTCAACTCTACCACTGACCAGCCGCGTTAGCCTGGCCACATTCCTCACACTCCCCAGGTCTCATCTGGACAACAGGGATGAAGAGTGTCAGCCCCACCAGGCGGCAGCAAGGCCTGAGTGAACAGCCGCTGTAAAGATCTGGGCACAGTGGCCAGTAATCTGCGCTCTGCCCACCCTGCAGGGACTCACCCTGCCCCCCTAGGCTCCGATTGCAGCAGGGCCCATGGCCCTGCTGCCTTCCCCGGGTGCTCGGAGGCCCCGGTTCTCACCTGAAGTCGGGGTACCAGGTGGCATAGGTGGCCACCTCAATCTTGATGGCACTGGGGTCTTGCAGGCGAATGATCTCGGCGAGTGTGGGGAGGGCGTGGTGCAGCCAGGTGGCCGGGGAGCCCTGCAGGCACAGGCTTCGTTGAGAGAGGCTGGCCCTGCCCGGAAGTGCGCCCGGGGACCCAGAGTCTCAGGTCGGGCCTGATCAGGTTTGGAGAGGCCCAGAGGGGCTGTCCAAGCCCGTGAAGAGCTTGGAGCAGGAGGGCAGCCCACCGCCGTGGCAGGTTGGGGGGGTGCTTACGTTCTGGGTGCAGAACTGCTGGATGAGCTGGGCGTTGGCCTGGACATGCCCCGCCAGCTGCTGCTGCTGCTCTGCCGTCTTGAGGACCAGGCGCCGCTTGCAGAGGCGGGCGATGTACTCCTTCACCAGGTGCAGGTGGACCACCTCCAGCAGCTCCTGGGTGGGCGAGCGGGCAGGGCCATGGGAACCCAGCACCTCCCTGGAGGCCAGGGTCCAGGGGGGGAGGATGCCAGAACAGAAAGGCGCATTGGGGTGTGCGCACACACGCATCTGCCCGCGCGTCCCCCACCGGCAGCCCAGCACGCCCTCACCTCCCGGAAGCAGTCCTGCAGCTCCGAGAACTCGGGCATCCTCTCGGCCACGGCGGAGATGATTTCCTCCAGGGTCTGCTGGGGGGCGGCCCAGCGGGTCTGCGTGAACCTCTTGAAGAGAGGCTGGGAGAGCAGAGAGGCAGGCTGTGTGGCCACGCCCGGCAGAGGAAGGGCCAGCCCAGTAGACACGCACGCACAGACACACATGGGGCCGGGACAGGGGTCGGGACAGCGGTCGGGTTATATTAAGGACTCCTCTGGCGCTCCAGCAGGAAGTGGAGGCCGGGTCTGCGTCCCCTTCTCCGAGGCCTTCTCCACCGCCTCCCTCCTTAAATAAATAAATTCCTGCATAAACAAAGCCGTGTGCTTGGCTGGGCGTACGATGATGATGACCCTGCCGAGTCATCCAGGGTCACCGTCTGGCCACCCGCAGCCGCAGGGCACTGGGGACAAGGCAGGCTCCCACGGTGGGGGCCAGGCAGGGAGTGCCCCCCTTCCTCCCCTAGGACCCCCGTCTCCTCCTGCGGTACAGGCACTAAGGGTTTCTGGGGATGCCCCGGCCCCCGCAGATGTGGCGGGAGACGCCAGAGGCTCTGAGCGTCCTGGCTGGGAGGCAGGGTGCGGGCAGGAGGGTCTGGGGGCGTCAGGGGAAACGTACAGGCAAACTTGAGGACTAGGTGGAGTCCAAACCGGGGATGGGTGCTGAAGTTTCTCTTCCGTACCCCAGGGCCCTAAGCGGCCCTCTGAGGCCAAGCCCCATGCTGAAGCGAGGGTGACATCAAGGGCGGGCCATGGCCCCATCACGGGGGCCACCAGCCTCCCTGCAGCTGCCCCGTGCCACACCTTCCTCGTGCCAGCTCTTCATTTCTGCCGCCACGCCCCAGGCCCTCCCCCAGCCCCTCCTGCACTAGTGTGGCAGGAGGCTACACTACCTTCAGGCCCCCAAACAGGCTCTGCAGCAGGGTATCAAAGCCACGGCTCTTGAGCTCATTCAGGGGGCTCAACAGGGAGCTCCGGAGGTCTGGTGGTGTCTGCCACCTCTGCTCCACAGACGTCCTGGAAAGTGCAGGAGTTGGGGAGGTCACGCCAGCCCCGCCCAGCCTGCAGCCCTGAAGCCAGAGAGCCAGAGAGCCCCAGGCGAATCTCCCTAAACCATCGCTCTAGAACCTTCCCTGGCTCCCCAGTCCCGGCGGGAGCAAGACCAAGGCACTCCAACCAGGCTCCCTAGGCAGGACCCAGCCTTCCCACCTAACATACACCTAACACCACACCCGGTTCTAACCAAGGACAAATGGCTCAGCCTCTCCATAGCTCAGGGTGCCCACGGGCTCAACAGACACAGTCACTGTATCTACTTAACAGGGTTGCTAACAGGATAAATGAAATCCTTTGCATGAGCGCCTGACCCACCAGCACTAGATACATGTTTGCTGTTGCCGCTGTAAGCCCTGGGCATTTCCTTTCCACCCTGCTCATTTTAATTCAGCATCTCTGCTTAAGCTGCTCCTCCTCCCTCCTCCATCCCAGGCACCTCCCCCCGCCCCTCTGCACCCCCTTTCCCCCCCACCCCCCACTGGCTTCCCAGCCCCCCGCAACAACACAGGAAGGCAGCTGCAGTGATTCCCCCCACTGCCCAGCGCCCTTACCGGAAAGACAGGCAGTTGTTGATGTTAGCGATGACATTGGCCCTGTAATTTCGCAGCTGTCTGCATCTCTCCAGAAATTCATCAAAGGCACGCTGATAGCTGGTGAAAGAGAAAGGGCACCCGTAGCTGCAGCATAAACACTGGGACAATAGCAGCCTCCAGCAGCCTGCCCGACCAACCAGCCAGCGTCACACATGGGCTCCCCACGGCACAGGGCGGATGCAGGAGGCATCCCGTAACTGGCTTCACACGCTCAGCCCACCAGGGCCAGGGCCCCTGCAGAGCTCCTGGAGAGAACGCCTGCCTGGCTCTGCAGTGCCCACACCTTCCCCCAAGCCCTTCTAGAGCTGCAGGCAGAGGTGGGGAGGCGGGCAGCCAAGAGAACTCTGGGGGCACAGACCAGGGGCATCACCTGAAGGGGAGGCCAGGGCCTCAGTCCCTCGGGGGGCATCTTTGCAGTTGGAGGCTGCTCTTCCGGGGGCTTTGCTGAGCAGTGGGGGGTGGGGGCGGGGAAGGGTGGTCAGATGACCTGAGGCTCTCAGCGCCCAAGTGGATGGTGCAGGGGGACAAGGACTCCTGCTCATAACAACAGACATCCTAGGGGAAGGGAGGGGGCGCTGGTCTAGCTAAGATTCCCCCCCTGGGGTCCAAGAGAGGGGCTGGGGCTCTGAGAGAGGGGGCAGCAGGGACCCCTCAGCCGCCAGCCCCACTCCGGGCATGCATGCCCATCACTCACCTCCTGAGGAACGTGGCCAGCTCAACCAACAGCAAGGGCTTTATCTGTGTGCCCAGGTCCAGGGTGATGCTCTCGGCCTTGGCATGGCCCTGGGAGATGATCTGCAGGTGTGGGGGTGAAAATGAGCAGAAGCCCCCCTGGTCTAGGGCTAGGTCAGGGGCAGGGGTGGGTAAGACATGGAGCAAGGGGGTCTGGGCTCAGCGGCAGGTGTGTCTGACCACAGGGACGCGGCCGGTGTGGGCGGGGCAGCGGGCGCTACCTGGATGATGTCTATGGCCAGCTCACTGTGGCAGCGGGCGTCCAGCCTCTGCGGGGCCACATCCTGGGTCCAACGGTTCGACTCCAGCTCCAGAGCTCGGGCCGTCAGCTCCCTCACGCTGGCCTTGGGGGGTGGGGGGCCCGCTCAGGGTAGTGTGAAGCCCACGTGGGCGTCCCTGCCAGGCTCCCTGCCTGCATCCTGTCTGCCCAAGACTCCCTGCTCCCACCTGCTTCCTTCCTGCCCCCACCTCGGCCCCGCCCGGCACTGGCCCTGGACTCACCACCTCGTTGGAGAGGAACGTGGCCTCCAGCAGCTGGATCTGCGTTGGGGGCAGGAGGGTCCCGAGTCTGACTCCCTGCAGCTCGGGAGCCAGCTTGGGGCTGTTGAGGATGTCGCTGCAGGCAGAGGGGCTGGCGTGAGGAAAACCAGCGCCATCCCCCCGCCCCGGCCAGAGCCCTGCACACAGCTTGGTCACCTTCCCTCCAGTGCCTCCCACCCCTGCCTCTCCATCTCAGTTCGATCCAGGTGATCCAGGGATCACCCTGCCTCTGCTCACTCTCTCACCCCTTCCACTCTTACTCCAAGTTATGCTCCCAAAACCCATCAGCCTCGAGCCACCCCGCCAGAGGCACCCCACGGCCCAGCCCCCATCTCCCGCCTGGCACACCGCAGGACTCTTCTCCCGGGCTCCCTGTCTTGCCTCCACAGTCCCTCTCCTCCCCCGGCGGCGGCGGGCAGAGCCACATTTCCGGTCTGATCTCCCTGCTCCAAGGGCTCCCCCTCCATCCTCACCCTCTGTCTCCTTCCCACCATCCCCCACCGCACTCCCACCCTGGATCCGACCAGCCCTGCCCCACCTTCCCCCAGACCGGCTCTGCTGCTCCCAGAGGAGGGCCAGTCCCAGCAGGAAGGGCTATCTGCCCCTCCCTGACCTCCCCTGGACAGAGGCATATCCACCCATCCTTGTGGCACTTCTGTTGGGTCCCAGAGCCCCCTGGGGACTGTCCAGCCCTGGCACTTCCTCAGGGCCTTCGTCTGCCCGGAGGCTCAAGAATAGCCCTTTCTGCCGCCTGCCACCAGCGCCCCCCAGCCTGGATGCGCTGTGTCCCTCTGCTCCCCAGACATCTGGCCACATGGGCCTCCACGGAGCCACCCTGGTCTCCCCGTCTCAGGGCTCAGCCTCCCACTGCACTGACGCAGGGGCGCCCCAGGTTAAAGCCCCCGAGGTCACAGACAGGAAGGTGGAGGGGCAGAGGGCACAGGCCTGGCACTTCCCGGTGAGTCAGGAGCAACAAAAAGGAACCGGCTCGGCTGGCGGGACTCGCCCGCATCCCCTGCCCTGTGCCAGCCTCCCTGCCCCCCCGACTCCTCACCCACCACTCCCGCTGGTCCTTCCTCGGGCCCCTGCTGGAGGCTGACCCACCAGCACCAACTGAGACCCCTGACGTCCCTGAGAGCCTCAGACATCGCTCACATGGTCTACACCTCCAGGCTTCCTGCAGGCTTTGTGCTACAGGCCGGGGCCAGCCCCTACCAGAACCCCTGAGCAGATCCACACTGCAGTTTAAGCCTCTCCCCACCCAGCTTGTACGAATGACTGACATGCTTGTTGAAGTAAAATAAGGGAAAAAAGAAAAAAGGTGTTGCTGTTGTTTTTTTCCTTGATTTCTTTACCTGTTCCTGATCTGCAGTCTGTAACTAAGTTTCTTTATCGAAAGATGAAACCTGATTTGAGAACTACATGCTGCACTTACAGCCCCCTCAAAACATTCTGTATCTGGGGCTCAACTTCACAGTACCCTCTCTGCAAACCACCCCTTAGAGTTTTTCTCTCCTTTTGCATTACAGAAAGAAAGCCTCAGTACAGTCCACAAAAGACAACGGACCCAACAACCGGGCCACCAGACTGCCAGACCCAAATTACCAGGCTCCCAATGCCAGCCTGATGACTGCTTTTGAAACAGTGTGAGGAGAAGCACCCAAGATCCTAACGCCTCTGTTCATTTCCAACCCGACTGTGAGCCCCCAGCTATATAATCCCCTAGGTTCCTCATGGAAGCAGGGACACAGTTCTGGAGACAGGAGCCTGCTATGTTCTTGCCTCTGTCTCCGGATTTTCTTAGCCAGTTTCTCTGGGCAGAGAAAGCCAAGATACTGGCAGCAACATGCTCAGGGATGCATGAGATCTGGGTGTATCAGGGGATGCCCGGATCTGAATCCAGTTGGTACCGGGGATTCTCCACGGCAGCACCAGGTGCCTCCCAAACTGAGAGCTCCAGGCCTTGGTGGCCAGAACTCAGCTCTGCCATGGGCTCACTGGGGAAGACCCTGCACAACGGGGTTGTGTCCCCAACAGGCCCAGTGCCCCCGTCCTGCCTAGGATTGCTCCCTTGGGCTGCTGGGCACTGAACACTGAGCGCTCCACACGACCCCCAGAAGGCCTCCCGGCCCAGCCTTGGGCACTGCAGGGCGGCTCCCTTTGTCGGGAACAGCACCCCACCTGTACTCGCTGCCCCCCTTGCCTGACTCCCTTACTTCTGTTAGACTGTCAGCGGCCCCAGTGCAGGGACACTGCCTCCTGCGACAGGTAGAATCCTGCACCTCCTCCTCCAAGCTGGCTTCCCGGGCTGATCCAGGCGGGGTCAGGGCTCCCGCTCCAGGCCACAGCCCTTCCTGACTCTGGATCATGGGCGGCTTCACACCCTAACCCAGACTGGAAACTCAGGAATCAAAGATGAGGCCCTTGCCCCCGTTCTCTGTGCCTCAGTTTCCCCAGCTGTGGGATGCGGCTGAGGCCAGAGAGACTAGGGATTCCCAGGGCAAAGCAGGCCCAGAGGACGCCCTGCCCCTTTGATTCCAGGCCTGCCTGGGCCATTCTCCCAGCGGACTCCCTGCACTTGCTGACACCCAGGCCCTGCCCTCCTGGGGGCCCCTCCCGGCACCCCGCGCCCGTGCTCACTTGGGGTAGAGGTTTTGCACCCAGACCAGCAGCATGTAGGTGTCGCGCGGGCACAGCTCGAACTGCGTCAGGGCCACTAGCTGGGCCGCGAAGTGCGCATGGTAGCTCTCGGCGTAGGCGGCCACCACGTGGAAGTCGGCGGGGAAGAGCGGCTTGAGGCGCTCCACCACGGCCTCCAGATCCTCCTTCATGGTGCGGCCCATGTGCAGGAAAGCGCGCTCGGCCTCCGTGCGGCCCTCGGCGTCTGCGGCCGGCCGGCCGCCCAGGCGCTCCGCGGCCGCCTGTGCCACGCCGTCCCGCCACAGCTGCAGCCAGCCCCGGGGCCGCGTGGCCGCCAGCCCCGGGCACCCCGGGGGCCCCGCCGCCGCCGCCGCCGCCGCCTCGCGGTCCTGGCGCTCCTGCTCGGCCAGCACGGCCAGCGCCTGGCGCAGCCGCTCGGGCGCCACCTCCAGCGGCCGGCGCAGCGGCCCGAGCACCTGGTCGCGCAGGAGCGCGTACAGCGCCTCCACCTTGCTCTGGCGCCGCACCAGCTCCTCCTCGCTCGCGCGGCCCGCCGCCGCGGCCTCCTGCAGCTCCAGCTCCAGCGCCAGCAGCGGCCCCGCCGCCTCCAGACGCCCGCGCTCCAGGTCGACCTTGAGCTCCTCCACTGCGGCCAGAACGCGGCGTTAGCGCGGCCCGGGGCTCTGAGACCCACCCGGCCACCGCCCCGGTCACCTCCCGTGGGCCGAGACCCCCCAAAAGATGCGGGGTGTCCCAGCCCGGGGTGGGGGACACCAGGCTCAGATCGAGATCAGGGGGCAGCAGGCGAAAGCAGGGAGGGGAGGCCCCTCGACGCCCACGTACCTGCCCCCTCTCTTCTGGCTGAGCGGGGCATGCACTCCAATGAGCCCTGGTCCTGCCCAGACCCTGCCCACCTAGGGAGGGGGCTCCCGCATACCTGTGGGCAGCTGGCCAGGCGGCCGCGGACTGCACTCAGACTCGCCCTCAGTCTCTGCTGAGCTGGGCTGACCCTTCTTCTTCCTCCCTTTGGTGAAGACGCTGAACATGGTGGCCAGGCCTTTCGACTTCTTCTTCTTCTTGCCGGCCTCTTCTTCGTCCCTGTCCAGGGCCACCTCGGCCTCCAGGGGTGGCACCAGGTCCTCGGAGGAGGCCTCCGACATGGAGGCCTCGGACTCTGCCTCTGAGGTAGAGGGCAACTTCTGGGAGCTTCTGGGGAAGTCAGGGGCCCCGGACACAGGCTGCTGGCCTGGGAGTCCTTGGAAGAAGGTCAGCATCTTCAGCATCACCCCAACTCAGGCCTGTGGGTTGACAAGTGGAGGGAATGAGAGGGTCAGTGGTCGCGGGGGGACTGGCCCCTGGCTCCCCAGCCCAAGCACACAGCCAGGTTGATCTGTTTTCACCGGTCTGACTGCCAGGGCTCTGGCTGTCTTCTGGTCCAGATGGGACCAACAACTCAACTTTCCCCCTGGACGCCAGTTCCGCAGCACCCACAGGCCCTCCCAGAATCTCCAGACAGAAGGGGACTTCGTTTTGGCAAATCCTTCCTTGTCAGCCCATCCTCTGCGCAGGGAGGGGGACCACAGGCTTGCTGGGGACCCTGGGGGAGGGGGCAGGGCTCGGGCTGCTCGCCCATGGCACAGAGCGAGAACTGAGGTCCAGAACAGTCACGGGCACTAAGAGGCCGGGCAGAGGCAGCAATCCGGCCCCAGCCCCATCCTCCGTCCTGCTCTGTTCTGCTCTTGACTCGTGTGGCTTGGGGTCCCAGAGGAACGCGATGAGCAGAAACAGGGCTGCTCCTGCTGGGACCGCGAGGCAGGCAGGGCCAGACCCCAGTTATGACCGTGGGGCTCAGGTCTACAGAAACCACAGCGCCCCCTCACGCCCGTTCCCAGGTCGGGGGGGACAAGGGGCCCCACGAAGCGCAGGCCTGCCTGAGGTCACACAGCAGCTCAGATGGGAAACTCGAGCTTCCCAGCTCCACTGCACCCTGCCTGCTCCCCAAGTGACGTCACCACCACAGAAGTTTCCATTTCCTGGGCCCTTCCTGAGTGCCCATCCCATCACTTCCGCACTGCCTTCCAGGAGGGGTGTTATTTTCCTCATCTCACATAACTAGCTCAGAGAGGCTTAAAATGCCCCCATGGTCAACAGCTTGGAACTCAGCTCACCAGGCTCTGGGCACCCCACCATCCAGAGAGGTAGCACCCTCCCCAGCGCCTTGACCATGGGGGAAGCCAGGCCAGGACCGGTGGAGGGGAATGCGGCTGACCCGAAAGGAGGGAGCAGGGCAGGGCTGGGAAAGGGGAGCAGAGGGGGACGGGCCTCCTTGGTAACTGGGGTGACCCATAACCACAGTGCCTGCCCCACCACCCAAGAGTAAATACACCAAGTCGTGACTCATACACCACGACTTCAACTCGCCCCTGCAGCAGCCCTGCAAGGCAGACAGGGTGATCCACCCCTCCAAAAAGGGAAACTGAGGCGGCAGGAGGTGGGGGGGTGAGGTGGGATGAGGCCTGTCAGACTTTCCACATCCCCTGCTACCTTCCCACCAGCCCAGCCACCTTCTCCCATCCTCCCAGGAACTCCTCCCAAAGCCCCGAGCTTGACCAGAGCCACTCAGTGGCCATGAAGCCAGGCTTTCTCCCCTCCCACAGCCTCACCAGATGCTGGGGGCAGAGTCCTACACCGCTGGGTCTCAGCTGCCTCCTGGTGCCATCTGGACTGCGAGTTCCCCTCCAGAACCAAGCTGAGGGTCCTCCAGGGAGCCCCAAAGCGAGGCTCCCCAGGTGCGAGGTCACTGGGCACTTCTGCCCTGCCCATCCCTTCCCCCAGCATCCCTCCCAATCCATCTCGCTTTCATGCCAAGCACCCACAGGAGCTGGTCTGGCTGGTTGGCAAGAGCTGCTCAACCTCACCCTGGGCCCAGGCCCCACCTTTCCGCCTCCCACTTCCCCACCCCCTACCCCCGCTGCCGGGGGAGGGGGAGGGCCCTCCTGAGCAGCTGCGGACCCACTAGCCCCACTTCTGCCCTCACTGCCCCCGCCTCCTCCATCCCCACGCATACTAGGCTCCCCCCAGCCTTCAGACCTGGTTCCTGCAGGTCCCCGCACGGCATTGCCACCTCCTTGCCTCTGGGGCGTAAAATCTCCCCCTCCAAGGTCCACAGCAGCCCCTTTGGCCCCTGCCCAGGCCTTCACTCTGAGGCAGCTGGTGCAGCAGAAAGACAGACCATTGTGGGCTTGGCTGTACCATCCGCTAGGGTGTAGACCGGACACCACCCTGCCTTCATAGACCTCAGTCTTCCATCTGTGCAATGGGGAGGAGAGCCCCACCTCACAGTGCTTCTGAAAGAAGGATGTGAGGGAAGCACACAGCCACATGCTGGCACCTGGCCAGGCCTCAGGAAGGGTCTGAGTCTTGGGTCTCAGTGTCTGTCAGGCTAACCCTGGTGCCTGGACACAGCATAAGAGGGCAGGAGAGACATTCCTTTAAGCCAAAGCTGGTGGCTGGGCACACTCGGACAGGAAGGGGCATGCTCCGAGTCAGACTGTGTGGCCACAGCCTGGGGCACCTCCCTGGTGCTCCCAGCTCCCCCAGTTTCTATGCAGGCACACACACCCTCACTCTCCTCCCCCGGGTCAGGGCTGAGGTCCACGCCAGCCTCCCTGGTCCCTGCGCATGAGGGCATTCAGGCTCAGGCAGGTGAAGGGACTCGGCCTCAGTCACACAGCCAGCCACCCCCCACCCCGCCCTGGGCCGCCCCGGCCCCTCCTACTGCAAAGGAAGGGACACTAGGGCCCCTTCCCACAGCCCCCTCCTCCCGGCTTTCCCAGGGCAGAGCCCTCCGCGGGGAGCATCTAACCGGACCCTCTGCACCCTGACGCAGCAGCTCAGCCGTAGGGCTTCAGTTTCCTTAGAAGGGGGGCTGCGGAAGACCTGGGGTTCTCCGCGCGGGGGTCCCTCCATCGCGCCAGCCGCTCCCTAGCGGGATCCGGCCAGAGACTCGGGTCGCGTCGGGGCGGATGCGCAGCCGCGCGGAGAGTTTGGGGACGGACGCACCGGACGCACCGCGAGCGCAGGTCACTTACTGTGTCCGGGCCGAGCTGTGGCCGCAGAGCCGGGCGCCGCCTGAAATAGACGCAGGCTCCGCCCCCGTCGGGCCGGCCCGCCCCGCCCCGCCCCGCCCACCGCCCCCGCCCCCGCCCCCGCGGAAAACCCGCGGGCTGAGGCCAAAGCCGAGACAGTGTGACGGGGGTGGGGGGCTGCCCGGGTCCCCGCGTTCGGTGCCGCGCGCGCGCACCCCCTGAGCGAGGCGAGGCCTGCCAAGCTGGGGGGTCCAGGAAGGGCTCACTCCCTCCCACCAGCCTTGGCGGGGTGTAGGGGCAGGCTGTCATCAGGCCTGAGTGGGGCTCCAGACCCGCACCCCCCAGCGGACAGGATGGGTTCGGTGCTGACCCATTGTCCGACGACAGCTTCTGATTGGCTGACTGGAAGGGGCCGTGCACTCAGGACCACTTTCGCGCGTCACAGAGCCAGCACCTCGGGCAGCTCAGAGGACCCCCTAGGCAACCCAGCTCACCCCAACTGTGGGGAGTCCCCTTCCTCCCGCGGGGTGCTGGGGACTGTCCCACCTAACTGAGGCTGACCGCTCGGAGGATCACCCCTTCCGGAGAGAGTGTTCACATCCTGGGGGTCACTGTGACCACACACATCCCTGGGGAGGCGGCCCCCGTGGAGGAGGCTCCCTAAGGGACCGGGTGCTGGTCAGCCTTTGACAGAGCACCCGCGCTGGTGCCTGGCATACATTCTCATCGCCCAGCCTTCCTGAAAAAGGGGAAATGGCTCACAAAAGTGAGTGACTTGCCCGAGGTCACACAGGCAGTAAATGGGGGTCTGAATCCACACACAGGCATGCAAGACTCCCACTGAAGCGCTTTCCCTTTGTGAGACCCAGGCTGGTTCCGGCCAGGCTCCTAAAGGCACCAGGTGGGGACCCCAACAGCTCAGGCTTGAGTCTCAGCCCAGCTTTGTCCTCACTCCGCGTGGCCTTGAGTAGGTTACATTGCTTTCTGGGCCTCAGTTTCCCATCTGAGGCCTATTTATCTGGGTCAGTCAAGGGGCCAGAGGAGAGCTGGGGAAGAGGACCTCTTCCCTGTTTCACATCCTAGAAATTCCTGCCCTCTGAAGAGGACCGCGCAGTTCAGGAATTTCCCGTCTGGGCACTGGCTTCCTTTCTGCTCTTTAACAGAGCTTCTGCTCCTCCCTCCCTTCTGTGTGCCCTCCCCCTGGAGACTGGGCACAGAGCTCTGCAGCCCGGGAGGCACGGCCAAGTGGGCAAGGCAGCGGGGAGATGGGGGTGCCCCTTGGCACTGAGAACTTCCTCTTCCTCCTTGGGAAAGGCGGCCGGGGGCCAGTCTGGGGCTTGGACATTGATCCTGTCTCTGGGCGGGGTAGGAGGGGGTTGGGAGGGTTGTTGTGTGAAGAGGGGGCTTCAGGAGGCTGCAGTAAGACAGACTCCACCCCCTTCTCTCCTCGTGGCCTCAGGGGTGACATTTTTCAGATCTGAACCAACGGTCACAGTGCTCCCTCACTAGGAGGGTCATTCCAGCTACTCCCAGTGCATAGATGGGGAGGCTAAAGGACCCCCCCAAGTTTATCCAGCCAGAGAGGATGATGAGGACATGATCCAAGGGATCCTGGCCCATTGCCTCCGTGGCTGTCTGCCGTGGCCTCATTGTGCAATCCCCAGTCCTCCCTGCCAGCCTCCTCTTCTAACCCCAGATTGGGAAATCGCTGGAGAATCCGAAGTGCTCTGGGTCATGGAGGAGGGGACAGCGTCAGGCTCACAGACCCACCACCCCCTCAGAGCTCCAGACCCTGATGGGCAGGGGCAGGAAGAACACACCCGGGCAGGCTCGGCACCCCCTTACCCAGCTGCAATGATGCCCTGCCCTCGCTCCCTCTCTGGGGCCTCACCCGAACTACAGGCTGCAACCGGGGCTTGGGAGAAGCTGCCTCACCCTCCTGTGGCTGCCCCAGTCACTTCCCCTTTCCCTGAGTTCAGGCATGAGGGTCAAATCTGTGAAGCCCCCAGCTCAAGGGCAACCCTCTAACAATAGGGCTGCACGGAGAGCCAAGGGGTGTGACTGTCAGTGGGGCCCAGGGGGCAGGAGCTATTCTTACCCCCTCTTGACAGATGAGGAAACAGTCCTCAGGAGACCAGACACTTCCAGAAGGAGCCAAAGGCCAGCCAAGAATTCCACCCTCTGCAGGAAATGAGCATCAGATGCAAGTTGGGAGTGTCCCTGGTCAGCTGCTGTCCCACCACCCACCTCCCTGGTGGGGGGGGGGGGTTGGATCTTGGGCTGCAGGCCTGTTCCACCTGGCAGGAGGGCAGCAGGCAGAGGTGGACTGGCAGCAGACCCCCCAAGTCCAGCCCAGAGGTCAAGTGCCCCCACACCTGGCCCAGAGCTGTGGTCAGCTCCTTGCATGCAACCCAGGACTTGGGAGGCCCCGGGCACATGCCTTCCATCTGCTTGGAAATGACAGGTGACTTTTTTTTTAGTTGTTGTAAAATTCACATAACCAAATGCTCCATTTGGACCATTGTAAGTCCACAGTGTGGGACACTAAGTTATATGTTGCTATGTAACCATCACCACCATCCATCTCCAGGATTTTTTTCACCTTGCAAAACTGAAACTCCATACTCATTAAACACGACCTCCCCTTTCTCAGCCTCCCAGCAGCCTAGCATCCGTCATTCTACTTCCCATCTCTATAAACTTGGCCACTCAAAGTAACTCATACAAGTGGAATCGAAGGGACAGTATCTGTCCTTTTGTGACTGGCTTACATAACTTCGCATAATATCCTCAAGGGTCATCCATGTTGCGGCATGTGTCAGGATGTCCTTCCTTTTAACGCTTGAATAGCGTTTCATTGTTTATCTTTTCATCTGTCGGAAGATACCTGGATTGCTGCCACCTCTTAGCTGTTGTGAATAATGCTGCTGTGAGCCTGGGAACTCAACCAGCCCTCCCAGTCCCTGCTTTCGGTTCTTTTGAGTGGACAGCTGACTTTTGTCGACCTCCACAGGCGTCAGGCTCTCTCCTAAGTGCTTTGCACGCGTTAACTGGTTGCATTAGACAATCTGATGAAATGGGTGCTCCTTAATTATCGCCTTTCCACAGATGAAGAAATCAAGGCACAGATAGGTCCAGTCACGTGGCGGTCAGTGGTGGAGCTGGGAGCCCACACTAAGCATATTGTTGTGGTTCAGTCATTCAGTCGTGTCCGACGCTTTGTGACCCCATGGACTGCAGTACACCAGGCTTCCCTGTCCTTCACTATCTCCTGGAATTTGCTCCAACTCATGCCCATTGAGTCAATAATGCCCTACAACCATCTGATCCTGTCATCCCCTTCTCCTGCCCTCTGTCTTTCCCAGCATGTTGATCAGGGCTTCCCAGGTGGCTCAGTGGTAAAGAATCCACTTGCCAATGCAGGAGACACAGGAGACTTGGGTTTGCTCCCTGAGTCAGGATAATCCTCTGGAGGAGGAAATGACAAGACACTCCAGGATTCTTGCCTGGAGAATCCCATGGACAGAGGAGCCTGGCGGGCTCCAGTCCATTGGGTTGCAAAGAGTCAGATAGGACTGAGTATGCAGACACACAATGTGGATCAACTGAAATACAGCTTGATGCGTTTAAGTCAGATGCAAGGAAGGACAGTCTGCAGGGCTAGGAAGCTTAGATGCAGAAATGGAAGGCTTTTTTTTTTTTTTACTGCCCTCTACTGCTTTTTCATCTTTGAAAAAAATAAGTATTTCCCAATCTGTCTGCGCAGCCAGCAGGAGAGGCTGACGCGGGCCAGGGAATATAACGCGGGGCAGGGAATATAACGCGGGTGGTGTGTGATGAATCGCACTCCCTCGATTCCCCCTCCCGGAGCTCCCAGGGCGAGGGGAAGTGGACGGCAGAAGGGGGCGCATCCTGCCACAGGGCTCAGCAGGCGCAAAAAAACCCGGTGCGTGCGGGATGGGACTGGAACACCGGGGCTGTGGGTCGCTGGGTCTGGCCGCCCCCGGAGGACCTGGCGGGAAGGCAGGGCCGGGGGCGGGGCTCCGCCACGGCCCCGCCCACTTCCCTCCGCGCGATGACTTGCACTTCCCACGGCCCCAGGCCCCGCTCGCACGCTGCTTCTCCTCTCACTTCGCAGGGTCAGGTGACCCGGGACCCTTGCTGGGGCCTCTAGTTTCTCGGGGATGTCCCGCTCGCTCCCGAAGGGCGCTGGGCAGAGCCATCGGATCCTCTGTTGACACGTGAGGAAACCAAGCCTTGGAGGAAACAAATCGACGCAAAAAGCTGAGGCCTTG